GGGAACACGCAGTGACTTTTTCTGACAGGGAATTCATTCTTATTTTAAGTAATGCAAATCAAAGCATAACATGTAGATAGTTTATGAGGTGCTGTGTACACTTATTTATTTTTCAAGAAATGAAACCCGACCCCTGAAGCCATTTTATGTTCACATATTTGTTTGAATATCCAAATAAAATATGAACGTTTATGTCGTTGCCATATATTGACAATAACTAAACGAAGGCGTCCAGAGTGATGCATGCAGTACATCAAAGGCTCCAATACTGGTGGTCCATGCAAAATCTCTCTCTCACACACACACACACACACACACACACACACACACACACACACACACACACACACACACACACACACACACACACACACACACACACACACACACACACACACACACACACACACACACACACACACACACACACACACCAAGGGCGCCGGAAGCGGGGGGCCATTGACCCCCCCACTTTACGGCCCTGCCCCACATTTTCGCAGCAGCGGATGCCGCGGAACCCTGTACACATCCCGTTTCAATAATTCCCCTCTACTTTAAAGTCGCATCTAAAAAGAACGCCATCTGATATAGCTGTGTATATTTTGTTATTGTTGATTGTTATATTCACTCTCATTAGCTACAGGCATTTTTGAAGCTTGTAAAGGGAAGAACACAGCTCGCCTCTCACTCGCCACTCTGCTCTTCTACAGTGCCGCTTCCCCTCCCTCCGCTGACATTATGAATGTAAGGCATAGTAATCATAGATAACACCACAGGGTCCGTTACAGTTTGTTTTCATCTGATTTCAAATAAACAAAGTCTTGGCTTTCAGAATATTAAACTTGTTTCGGCAAATTCAGATGATAAATACAGCTTTGAAGCTTTTAACGGCATAATTACAAGCGGAGAACGGAGTAATTTGACGTCACAGCACGCATAACAACAGCCGGTGTTTCTCCTGAAAGTTTTCCCCGGGAAACAAACGCAAAAATACACAAACACACACACACGTGGTATACACGCACACACTCGCGAGCTCCCCCCAGACCAGTAATCCAAACGAAAATATCTTCCCTCCGTACTACTTTGATCATTTGCTCCGCTAATAATCAATCAGATCGATCCAGAGAAGAGGAAACTTTAAGGCCTTTTTCTCAAAATGATGACTCGGTGACAGTCATTATATAATGTGACATATTTTGCTTAATATAGTACAAAAACAATCCTGATATCATTAGAAAGCTAGGAATCTCCTCTTTCCAACAGTGTATACAACTCAAAATGTGTCTTCGGATCAATGCGACTGATTTCGATGGAGCAGGTCACTTTGCATTAGGTAAAATACAGCAGGCAGACATAACAGGGAGAATATGTACATTTTAATCCAATCAAATAGGACATTGTCACACCATTCAAATGTATCCATGTACATTACAACCAATAACAAAGCTTAGATGTGTTTATTTGTTACGTTGTTTACGTTATGTGTTACGTTGTTCAGTGTGTGTCAGCCATTAACCTAGATAGATAAACTTGCAAACATGTCAGAAGAACCGGCGCATAAGAAAACAAAATACAGTCAAACTAAGCTGAAATTCAACAACTTGAATGTCACATCCCTGACATCCACAACTCCGGAGCCTGGACCTTCAACCATAGAACCAGCGCAGCCAGATGAACCCCAGCAGCAGCTCTGCGGCCGCAGAGGCTGTCAAAACCGCCGCCGCCGGCATCGTTGAACCGAAACAGGCTGGTTCCGACTGCATGGAGGTTTGTTGTCGGGACATTGTGACGGGCCAATAAAAGCTTATTTGGGCAAAGAGAAGGTACTTCAATGCAGAATGGTACAAAAACAGAGAGTGGTTAATTATTTGCAAAACCACTAAACGAGCCTTCTGTGAAATATGCAGATGTGATGCTGTCAAACGGCTTGTAACTTTCTCCAAATGTGGAGATGACAGCTTTGTAAATACCGAGTTAATAACTGGAACTTTTCACAGAGCTTACTTCAGTCAAACACCAGTCAACATTCAGCTTGTCAAACAAGAGCGTATAGCAGGAAAAAAGAAGAGATGGAATGAGCAACTGCGCTGTCATATGTGGGCTGGTCTGTATAGTTTAATGTACAGGAAAGGAGTGAGCAGAGGGTTGAGTTGTCCATTCTTGTTCTGTTTTCTCTGACTATCTTCCTCCTGAAGACCCTCTCAGACTTTCATTTGCTCGCGCTACTAAAGAGACACGTTACCATGGAAACCAAACAATGGTGTAGCTGTATTGAAGTCCGAGTGGAAACAGTAACATTTGGGTGCGTTATGTTAGAATGAAACAAATTAGATTTAGTCAGAAATCGGGAGAAATGCGGGATAAATATGACCACGGGAGGAAAACGGGAGTCTCCCGCGAAAATCGTGAGGGTTGGCAAGTAGGCTATGTCACATACACACGCACTTTTTGCCCCCCCCCCCCACTTCTGAAATGAATCCGGCGCCGCTGACACACACACACCCCACACACACACACACACACACACACACACACACACACCACACACCACACACACACACACACACACACACACAACACACAGCACACACACACACACACACACACACACACACACACACACACACACACACGGTAGTTTGGGGCTATACTGAACTACAGCATTTTAAGATAAGACTGCAGCCTTACAGACTGTGATCAGGGCTACGACCTCCGTGAGAACCGCAGCTCATTTCTATTCAGCGTCCTTGGAGCCGTCATTATGCAGATAGAGACACACTGCATATTCACCACTGAAGGCCCCACGTCCCCAGACAGGAGATATGACAACCTCACCCACAATTCAGTTCCCTTCTGCTCAGCACGTCAGTCAGATAAAGTTATCTGAGGGCAATGCAAAGTATTTTTCTTAATCTCTCCACTGTGTCCTCCTCCGTCCCACAATGCCTTGGGGCTGCAAGCTGATGTCAGTCCATCTTAAGTCTCAATCACCAGCGAGGCTTTAAGTTGGAAATGACTTTCTGATCTTACATTTCCCTTTTGATATTTGCTGAGCAGAACACCTGCTTATGCCAGAACATGTAAAAGAGAAGTCCGGCCGGGTTTCAGAGTAAAGCAAACCTCAAATGTCATCTGAAATGCTACCCTTTCAAATTGATTGACACCATCTCCATTTGTTTATCAGTGACCCATTAATCATTCCCTAAATTCAATATATATTTTTACCTAGGGTTTAAAATGCAGTTTGTTTATCACTCAGATAACCACACACTTTCAGATCAGCCTTTAAACAAATATCTCGGATTCTGAATTTGTCTGCAGATAAGAAACCAAAACATTTCTATTTAACTCCCCGCCCCCCCCCCCCCCCCCCCCTTTTAAAACCCTGGGCCTTGTTTAGGAATCACTTTGTGAGGCCACTGTGTTGGATTCTTTAGAACTGGTTGGGCTTTCCTTAAAAAAAATCATGATTAGAAGAAAAAGTTTAGGTAAAGGTCAAGCTGGGTAGGAAGGATCATTGTGTGTGTGTCAGAGTTCCCGTTAGCCGGTAATTACCGGAATACGACCGGTAAAATATGCTGAAGACCGGCAAATCTAAATCTCTCCGGTCAAAGTGTCCGTTCAAAAATAATCTTCGTTTAGCGCAATACCACATCAGTTGCGCAACTTGCGCCATTTATGTGACAGACAAGAATAGTCAATTCTAATGTCTAACCTGTGTCTAACACGTAATGTGGAGAAATAGATGTCCTGTATGGGTTGATTGTGCGTTGATCTGTTGGTAATGCCTCGGGGTTCCGGTGGGCATGTAAACAAATGCATAATGCTGCGCTATACTTTGTGGCCTCACCCAGTTGCATAGCGACACTTATTGTGTAGGTGTCTTTTGATAAGCAGGTAGTCATATCATTAGCTAGAACTAGCTAGATCTGATCGATATGGACATAAACGCGAGTGAAGTCTAATCTGACGGGAGAGAGAGATCAGCTGCTGCTGACGAGTCGACATGCAGCTTTGCATGATCACATGCAGCGGTGAGCGGAACAAAACACACACTTCAGGTTAGAATATCACACGTAGCTATTTTAATGACCTCTCAAACTACCGTAACTAGTTATAGATATGTTTAGTTTTACTGTCGGGTCACTCATTACTGATCCGCGAGCTGCATGATACTGACGGGCTGTCAGGAGAGGGGGAGAGCGCTCCGTTTATTATTCCCGTGTTATTGTAAATTACTGTACACTTTTGAATAATGTAGTTAATCTACTATAATTAGTTTGTTTAATATCGAATCATATCAATTTGTTTTAAAGCACAATAAATAACAAAGAAGACCTTTGACCGGCACTTTTCTCATTTTGTCCGGAAGATTTAAACTTTAACGGACATGTTGACCGGCGAAAAAATATTCTAACGGGAACTCTGGTGTGTGTGTGTGTTTAATCTCCCAAAGCCCCCCCCCCTACAGTGGGGTAGGAGATGGTTCTCATGGTGCATACACCAGTGCCCTTCAGCCACACCTGAGGAGAGGAAGCACCAAAAAGCACCAAACATTATTTTGATATTCGATATATTGTTATATTTAATTTTACAAACTGAGTATAGTTCAGTGTGAAACAGATATGTTTGCTGCATCCGATGGCAGTCACATCACATTCCTGATTGATGAGTGAAATGTAAAGACATTAAGACCTACAATTATTTATCATATCACATTTTCTAGTACTTCCTAGCAATATATAACATAAATCATAATGATACAATTAATTAAATCAATTAAAAAAATGGTAAAGCGGCAGGAAATTGAAGGAATATTAATTAAAAAATTAATTAATGTTGATTTCGCCAAAAATCTATCCTTAGGAAATTAGCGTTCGAGCTAATGTTGTACAGCTTGCTGCAGCTCTGTTCTGTAGTAATGTCTGGTTGAAAACAGCCTTATTTTTTTTTTTTTACACAGAAATTCAAAAGATAAAACATGTGGGTAAGGGAGATTTAAGGAAATCAAAACCTTTTAATAACAAGTGATGAGAGATTATTTTTGACATAATTTATCACTTTTTCTTTGACATATCTTGGATGTGCAGAACCATTCAAAACTCTTTTCTTAAACTTCTAAGGATAATTTTAACAATAATTACACGCTGTAAGTTGAAACAAATGCCAACACCCACACACTTTTGCCATGCCTTAAAATAAAATCTCACTCAACGAACACTGAGCCACAGATTGGAAACCAAAGAGATGAATCATTTGTATAAAAAAGAGAAAACTCTTCAAACTTACCATGTATGATACACATGAAACATGATACAAATGTAAGCAGGTCTAGAACACAGTTATGCATAATCAGAAAGTCAAAGCTCTTTGTTAAAATGTCATTAAATAAAGAAAAGGTAAAAGTCATTCCCATGCCATTTGCAGTGTTTCACAAATGGCTCGCTGAGGGAAGTGAGCAACTAAATATCAGTCTTTTGTTTGGCTGCCATTTAACGCGATGAATCACCGGCCCTCTGCTGTCTCAGATAGGCTGTTATCTGGCTGGAGGGAAGCGGCGGACACCAGTCAGAGACCAGTGGAAGAAGAGTTTAATCACCGGGGCAGCTTTCAGATGACTGGGACCGGGTTCAGCTGGACAATCTGCGGATGTTGCTGAGGAGTCTCCGGCTGAACTCCCTGTGGTCCACCGGCTGCACCTCCATCACCGTCACCTTCACTCTGCTCTCATCCTGAGGAGGGGAGGAAACATTTCAGACATCTAGAGACTCTGAGATCAGAAACATTCAAGAAATAAACATCATAGTGGACATTTTTGAACGACAGCTAAAGACACATCTTTTTAGATTAGCTTTTTATTAGCAAGCCCCCACTTTAAATGTTCTTTTAGTCTTTATTATTTACCTGCCTTTATAATGTTTTATTTATTTTATAGGTCTTAATCTTTTTATTTATGTTGTACCTATATGTTCACTTTGTTTTATGGGGTTTTATATGTTATATTGTTGTATCGACTCAGTTATCTTATCTGTCAGAGAGAAACCATTATTTATTTTATTTTGTTTTATTATCATACATTTTACCTCTTTGTATCTATTAACCTGATAACATTTTATATGTTGCCACATGTACCTTTTAAAGTTATTAACAACAAATCTGAGGGGAATTTCTTGTTTGATTTCAACTTGTGATGTGTCATTTTGTAAAGCACTTGGAGCTGCATGTGTTAAAGCTTAATTATTATTATTGTTAGGGAATAATTTGCCTAGGTATTCAACCTTTGACACAGTTCATCATTTTCTCCTCTCACTGTCTCCTTTCCCATGGCATATGTCTACGGCCTTGGGTATTGCTGCTATCTCTCTTAAGGAGGGGCAGCTTGGGTGCATTGTTATTGCCAGTCTATGACAGAGCACAAGCCGCCATGAGGTAATTTACTGTTCAGGGACGAAGGTTCCCTGGCGCGCATTCTTTTCTATGGACGAGAGCTCTAGTTAGATTCAGGGTCCATATTTGTTTAGTCTCACTGATGAAGAATGTTGATTATTACACTCCGGACTAGATAAAACCTCGAGCTAAGAAAGAGTTCTTCAGAATTGGTTTGGCAACCGCTGTGTCAACTCGTGACACACCACCTGTCTTGTCAACTCTCCGGCCGTAACTCCAAATAAACCATCAGTGTTTGACATCAAAGCTCCTGCTCATCCCGTGTCTCCTTCATGAGTCGGTGACTCCCACTGCATTGCTACACAGAAGTTTCCTCCACAATTATAGCATAATGTATTTCATGAAAACAACAGATCTCTTTAAGTAAGTGAGTTTAAATTATAAACAAATCCAAGCCTACATCTGTGTTTAAAGAGTGCTTCACATCCAAAAGTCCAGCTCTAGTATCTATTGATCATACCGTGGATAGTCTCTGTTTATACGACAGCACTTTTTTAAATAGTCATGGTTATAGGAAAATGCATGTGTGTGTGGGAAGTAGTGAGAATATAACTGGATAGATTAGACTACGTTGTGTCTCATTATCCAGTTGTGAATGGATGGCCCACATTTACTTAATTTCTATTATTTTATTCACAAATGAAAGGTGAATTGATGGAAATAATTGATATACAAGTAATAACTTGGGGGTTACGTTTACCTTTAAGTCATTAGCAACAAGGCTATAGCAGCTTCTGGTAGCGTACCGAATGGTTTATATGCTGCTGGCTGGTCATTGGTGCAAACTGAAATAACCATCCCAACTTATTAACACTATCCAACCTTTATAGGTATTTCATTATTTAACTAGAGTGAAACATGTTGGTCTGACTCCACTGGCAGGCAATAATTGCCTTTTTTGTATATAGAAAGCATGTACTGTACAGATGTATGAGCATTGCTTGAGTTTCTTTTTTACAGTGACACATTTTTCGATTGACGTTGTAATGGTCACAATTTCTTGACTGCACACATGGAAAACTCACAAGCGTGTTAGTGTTAATAAAACCATCGGCAAGCATTTGTCATGAAGTTAGCTCAGGGATAAATGCATATTTAACAATGTTTATACATTTATATGGATTGCTTTGTTCTTCTTGTTTATATGTTTGAGAATATGATGAGATTAAATGGAAGTGTTGTCTTACTTGCTTTCAAGCTTTGAAACTTTTTAGACTTGCAGAATAAACAAAAATGACATGACAAAATCTGTGTGATAGAGGGTTCATTTTCAACCTCTAAAAGTTAGCAAAAGCAGGATATTAAGTATTTGTATCTATAATTAAAAGAGAAAATTGTTAAATGTATGTTCTTATTAAATTATTACAGATAATTTTTAACTCAGCGTCAGTCAGTCTCAACAATGTGTAGCAACATCGACTATCAGCAGATATATTCCTTATCAAATAATGAAGTGGTTTGTCAGGACCTAATGTCCATATTAAAACAACTATACAAATGATTACACCTGACTGACAGTTCATTCTCCCATTAGCAATTCAGGCAGCATAACCAGCACCAATGTTTTCATATTATACCATTATCTCATACGTGGTTCAACACCTCTATGAGTTTTCAATTTACATCTATCTGAGTACGGCAGGAAAATTAAACTATACGGCGGCCGTCGAGACAAAAGGTACTACTTGACAAAAGGTGACAACTTATTTAAAAATAATGGTCTTCCTAAGACGCGGAACTGTGAAAAATAAGGCTCGTTAATTAAATGTGCGTGAAGCTATTCCAATCACATCTGGAGAAAACAATTACTCAGTGGCCACACATTCAACCCCTATTCTCGACTCTATTTCAGCAGGGGGGTGGGTGGTGTCTTTCTTTGAGAATTAAAAAGGCAGACATGAAGACCCACACCTTCACACACATGCATCTAATAACAGCCAATACACACCTCTTTATTCCCCTTGATGAGAATGAATAAGATACTTTACTGAACAGTCACATGCTAAAATAAGCTAAGCTGCTGAACATGGTAAACATGTTACATGTTCATCATCAGACATTTTTATTGTCTCTGAGAGTATGTGGTCATTGCTGATGTTGACTTAAATGTCTAGCCCCGCTGGATTTCAGCCTTAAAGGTTACCTATTGTGCAAAATCCACTTTTTCATGTCTTTTAAACATAAACATGTGCCCCCTCTGTTTAAAGAGATTCTGAAAGTCTCAGTAACAAAGACCCCTCTCTTTTTGTCCTGATCCATTTATATAAAAACTTGTCTGAAAACGAGCTGATCAGATTTTGGCCACTTTATGATGTCATAACGATTTTTTGGCTTGTGTAACCATTAGCCAATCACCAACCAAGGTAACCCCCCCCCCCCCCCCCCCCCCCCCTATGAAACAGAGGGGATTATGGGATACTGCAATGATCTGTTTGGTGTTTGGAGCCAAACACTTCAGAGACATATATCTGAGACCTATAATATATTGATGAAAAACAGTATAATAGGGGACCTTTAAATCGTAGCTATTAGCAGATGTTGAACCTGTATAGTGAATCTAATAATCCAATAAAAAGAAACCCTGTTATTCTCAAAGCAACCTAACTGCAAACAACGTCTCGGCACTCTTTTACTTTATGCATGCATTTTAAATTAGGCTATATGCAGACATTTGGCGCAGAGTATCTATCCAAAAGAAAGCAATTGCAAAAACATTATAATTAAGAAAGCAGCAAAAATAGACAAACAGTAAAAATACAAGTGTCTTCGGAGAGCAGGAGGAAGAGTAAGACCGCTCGAACGACTTTTTTTTGGGAAGCAGTGACAGGTTGCATTGTCAGCTGTTAAATGGAAAATAAGTGAATAAAGCAACCCTATTGAACATTTTTGAAAATGCATGCGAAAAAGAACAATGAGAACAATGTCATTACTGTAAATAAACAAAAATATTTCTGCTCTCCATCCTTTCAGAAATCCTGGGCTTAGCTTTTTTCCTCTTTTAAGTGGCATCATGAGCCCCCCCCCATAAGACCTCTGGCTCCAAATGACTCATACAAGCTTAATTGCTATTACGCTTAGACATTCCATGGGATGCAACAAAACTGTATGGTCGTGTACCCAATATATATCAATTAGGGGTGTAACGGTATCCGTATTCGTCCCGTACCGTCACGGTTCGGTGCATGCAGTCACACGACGAATACGCCTTTTTTTTTTACGAGTGGGAAAAAAGTCTGTCATTCAGGGCAGTATCCATTACACTATTTATAATCCAGGGGGCGGTATTGCGCCTAAAAGCTGGGCCAGCCGCCCTTAAGCAACAAATGAAGAACAAGAAGAAACACAACAACAAAACGAACAAAATACAAGAAGAAGAAAAGTTAGTATGGCGATTTCAGGTAACACACAGGAGCTAGAACCCACCGGAACATTTCGGGTTCCCAGTGGACTACAATAACGATGAATTGTGCGAGTGGTGGATCGGACGAGGACGGTGTGTCGGCGTTGTTCGAAAGCGTTGCGGTATGCTAATGAAAACACACGCCAAACTGGCATCAGCCAGATTTGCCAATCACCGGAGCCCGGCAAAAGACAACAGGGTTGCGTTCCGATAATCCAAAAATCAGCTCCTAAATTCTAACCCTATCTCCTATTCCTTGACCTCTGAGTGAAACGTCACGGGGTTAAGGGATAGTGGATAGGAGAATTCAAAAGGACTTAGGAGAAGAGACTGCGGTACTTTAGAGAATCCGAATGCACTTTCACTATCCGACGTGTTTATGATGCGCCAGCGGACGTCATGAATGTGTGTCTGCTGCTGTGGGGAAACTATGGAAACTACAGTTTTCTATACAGCGGACTACAACATGGATGTTCAATAAGAAAGAGGGACTACTGTAAACTCATCTAGAGACTCTGCACCGTGCTCTGATGCTGTTGTTTTATGCTTTATGAACGTGGACAACAGAGAAACATATTCTTCATGACCAAAGTTGGAATTGAAATAAAAAAGGAAAGTGAAACTTATGCTCGTCACCCTCTCCCTCCGGTCCACATTAATACAAATGATCCCAATACGTATGATTGTATGAAAATATCTTAAAATCAATACAGATGTATTTATTATAAACGTTAGTCCTTAACATCTATCACTGTGTATATCACCATTCAAACATCTTTTAAAAGTTGAACAAACCCCACACAGCTCAGTAAAGATTGTGAGATGTTGACTTTATTTGATCATTTCAGTAAAAACTAACGTTCATATTTCTCTTTTTGATTATAA